TTGTTTCAAAAATTTTCAGAATAGTGGAGAATTTTTAAAATTTTTTCGCATTTTTTCTGATTTTTCTAGGTCGAGGCTGTAATTGAAGGTTGAGAGTAGAAATTAACCAATAGTTATCGACAGAGCTTTGAAAAGAGGATGCATGCAAAGGTCAGCCGAGAAAGTGTGAGACTGTTGAAGAGGTGAAAGTACAATTAACTGATCAGTCGGTGGTCATAATTGAACAGGGTGTTGAGAGAACTATAGATAATAAAAAAATGAGGAGCAAGATTTACTGCCGTCGTATTATTCAATTATGGATTCTTTAAAATCAGGGTTAATGAGGAACTGTTGTACTGAAAATGAGTTCATGCCTTTGGTGATACTGTAGTAATAATATTTTCAATGGCAAAATCTCATGCAATCTGATGATGCTCTTGGTCCACATGTTTGTGAGCGGTATAAAGATGAGCCTATAATTTGAATGCTCATGTTTCCTAGTGGCTCGAACTGACATTAGGTACCAGTTCCACTATGCTCACAGCCTTGATCAATTCTTAGGCGTAGAGTTGACAATGTATTGGGTGGGCAACTAGGTCATTGCCGTTTTTGTTGACGGATTCACTCTATACTTTCTTTTGTTTTGTTAACGTGGCCAGACCATCTAACCTATATTTTTTTCTTACTGTATGGGCTTCTAGGTTAATTAGTAAAAAATTTTTTTTGTTTAGTTCTTTAGTTCTGTTTTTATCCCAATTTAAAAATGAAAGAACACGACGTGCACTTCCGACACATTTTATTGTATTACTTCCGAAAAGGCAAGAACGCATCGCAAGCACAAAAGAAGTTATGTGCCGTATATGGAGATGAAGCCTTAAAAGAAAGGCAGTGTCGAAATTGGTTTGAAAGATTTCGTTGCGGTGATTTTTCACTGAAAAATTCACAACGATCTGGCCGCCCAGTCGAAGTGGATGAAACCCATATCAAGGCCATTATCGATTCAAATCGTCACAGCACAACACGAGATATTGCAGAGAAGCTCAATGTGTCGCATACATGCATTGAAAAAAAAAATTAAAAACCCTTGGTTATGTCAAGAAACTTGATTTATGGATCCCTCACCAGTTAAAGGAAATTCATTTGACGCAACGGATTAGCATCTGTGATTCGCTACTGAAACGCAATGAGAATGATCCATTTCNTGAAGAACCTAGTTACTGGCGACGAAAAGTGGATAGTTTATAACAATGTTACTCGCAAGAGATCATGGGTGAAGCAAGATCAACCAGCCCAAACAGTATCAAAAGCAGAGATTCACCAAAAAACAAAAAATTATGCTGTCAGTGTGGTGGAATCACAAAGGAATTTTGTATTTTGAACTGATGCCGCAGAACCAAACGATAAATTCAAATGTGTATGTTGAAGAACTCGAAAAACTGAAGGATGCAATTGAAGATAAGCGGCCGGCATTATCAAATCGGAAGGGTGTTGTTTTCCATCATGATAACGCAAGGCCCCCCCCCCACACATCTTTGGTTACTCGGCAAAAATTATTGGAACTGGGTTGAGATGTTTTGTCACACCCACCATATAGCCCTGACCTTGCGCCTTCGGATTACCATTTGTTTCGTTCCATGCAAAACTCTTTAAATGGTAAAATGTTTAACAACGCGGATGATGTCGGATCACACCTAATTCAGTTTTTTAATAGCAAAGACCAGACATTTTACGAAGGGGGAATTTTTACTCTGCCAGAAGGATGGAAAAAGGTCATCGACAAGAACGGCCAATATCTAATTGAATAAAGTTATATTTTTAAACAAAATTCCGAATTTGCCTTCTTATTTGAAATCGGCAATGAAATCGGCATTTAATTTAGTTGGAAAATTGAAGTTGAGTTGAGTAGTTAGGTAATGGCACTTTGCCTCAGTTCTTGAAATTAGGGAGTATACCTGAGACAAAATCGATATCACCAAGCTGTTCTGTGAGAGGCAGCTGACATGTAAAGAACCGATCACAATTCATTGGATCATCAGAAATCGGTGGTGAATAGGCATTGTTGAGTCCCCTACCTCTCATTCCCCATCACCAGCCAGATGTCATTGATTTATGCCTATCTAAAACCAACTTCCTTCTCATTGAGGTGTTGTAGTGAAGGAAGATGAAATCTTATTTGATTAGGTTCTTAATGTGCTTTTCCATTGAAATGGAACTATTTTAAGTAAAAGTGAAAATACCTCAGGCTCTTAACTGCTCGATAAGTATTGCTTATGAAAATATTTAAAAATTGAAGTTTTGCAAATGGAGAAATATTATTCTTTAAATTAGTCATGACTTTAGAAGGAATGTAATATGACAAAATTATCACGAAAAAATCGTTTCTTTAGAATGGAAGATGTGATTTCTGCTTCTTTTGCGCAGCAAATGTTATGGGTTGTGATATTCAAGAGCATTTAATGCAGTTTATCGAAAATTTTCAAAACATTTGACTTAAGGAATCTTGGAGGCTACTTATGGAATAACCATTGTACAAACAGTTTTAATTCATACGAAAAAGACATGAAAGTGGTACTTACACTCTACTTCCTCCATCTTATGTCCTTAATTAACCCAATTCCTCTGTTTGTTGGATGTACCTAGACCGGCCTATATATGTTCAGTGAACCTAACAGATAGGACTTTACAAACCCCACCGAAACATCCACATATCGTAAAATATTTCATGTACTTTGCATTCGCTAATGAGGGATAATTTGGCACTCTACTGATGTCTTTTTTCCGGCTTCCTTTCCCCTGGTAACATTCATCCAGAATCCGAGTTCATGAGACTCAATAAGTGTTAAATAGCTTTCAAAGGGTAAAAAGCATAACTGCGAAAATTTTTCGAAAAATTTTGACTTCATGTTTAAATCAAAGATTTGCTTAAATGGACTTAAATGCACGTGAAAATTTCTCCACCTTCAAGGCTAGGAAACAATTATTCGGCATAGGCTATAGGACACTCCATTGATTTTTCTCCTAAATAATGTGCTAAAATTAACTTAAGTAATTGTCTTCAGTAAATATTCAACTTTATGGAAGATTCCTTTACTTCATTGCAAATCGTTAAAGATTATATTTAACTTTCAAGCGGGAGTAAATAGGAGAGCCGCTGCCCGTCGGTATTGCATTGGCGTTTTTGTATTTATTTGCTATTGCAGAGATCACTGGGACACATTAAGTCAGCGGATTAAATCTGATTGACTTGAAAGGTGGTAGAATGAAAGTCTCTCAACACAGCTTACTCAAAATGAGCTATTGAAAGCACGTTATTGAATTAGCTTGGAACCTTTGATTAAAAGAAAATAGTGTATTTACCGCTTGTTTAGGCAAGCAAATTGAAAAGAAATTCGCCAACGGTTACACTTCACTTTACCTTCTCGTTTAAGTAATGAATTACTAAGGTCAGATTAGTTTGGCAAACTAAAACAGCAAAAGGTATAGTTGATACCATTGTTAATAAAATAATCGTGGCAATCCTCTCTTCCCACTTGCTGTGTGGGCAGACAACAGCGCGAATAGCTAACAATCTCAAGAACACGAGAAATTGAACCCAGCGTAAATCGGACTTAGTTGGTAATCCTTTGAGCAATAAGCCCCAAATTCTTTCACAAGGCTACTGCTTTCTGATGTACTTGTGAGTAATATCCCTGCCTTCTATCTGAACTATGCACACACACACACACACGCACACATACACACTCACACACACACTATAAACTCAAACACGCGATCCACTACTCATGCTCTATTGTTATATTCAGTGCCTCTCTTGAACTATCTTAGACTCCTGATTTGGAAGATCCCTCCATGCCTCAATCGTCTTTTCTCTTCGTTTTATCGCAACTGTCTATTAAGTTAATCTAGCAAAGATTGGTAACAGCTGGAAGGAACTGACTGACATAATGAGTTCGAAGAGAAAGCAGACTCCTCTATAATGTTCTATTGGTGAGCCATATAGTTCTGACGATAGGATTCGTTCGCCCTCACGAATTTCTAGGGCAAATCCGACTCAAAGTGAGGGAGAAGAAACCATGATATATCTTTAGTAAATTCTATGCATTCTATTATTACATAAAAATAAAAATTACCTCTATTTTGTCATTTCCCAGAGAACAAAATACCTCCCGATTGATGGGTGTGTTTATCATACCTAATTGTCTAGTTATCGTCAGCGAATCTAAAAGCATGACGGACAACTTTGAGGCATAAAGAAATGAAGTATCCCCGGACGGATCACACGCTCTGTATGTACGAACAATATCTCACTGGAATCCTTTTAGAGACCCACCTGCTAATACTAATTTTCTTTAATCTTGTTTTATCTTAATCGTTCCCTTATTTTTATGATGGAATTAGCCGTGGTCAAGTTAACATAACATCAGTTATTACCCTACTTTACTCAGGACTAGGAATGGAGACTTACCATCGTTAGATTAATGGTAGTGATCCAACCGATCACAAATGTCAATAATAATAGGCAAGGACTTACAATTACATGATATTTATGTGGCCACTGAATGAAATATTCTCTTCCTCCCTCTTACTGCGCGAGCAGTTGTGGCCATTGTACTCCTAATGAATTTGAACTTTAACTAAAATCAAATTCAGACGATCCGACAATCATACGCGCAGTTACTGAACCACATGGCATTATACCGTTCTGACACAACCGTGGAGGCAATTACAAACATCACAACATGAGATTACTATTATCAAGTCCCCATGGACTGGACATCACGATGCGTAACTGGTAAAAAGGTATGAGAAGCGACTAAGTAACGTTGCACAACTTGCCAACTAACTATCTGTTTAATGAGGTAAATCTTAAGGGCCAAATGAATAACGCGCAAATATAATTGGGTAAATATATCCTCGTAAGAAGGTTGGAGGATTGCAAACCACCTTATTTACCTCTCATGACTTTGTAAATAAAGCCACTTCATTCTTAAGTCCCTGCCAATTTCCGCATCAGCAGTGAGATGCGGAAGATGATTTCAATATGCCTGGCCCTATTTTTTCTCCACTTTGCCAACGGATGTGTTTCTCAACCTCGACGCTTTAATATAGTAGTAGATGCTTCAGCAATTACCACCTCAACACAGTCAAAGAAATTGGGAACGTACGGAAATATGGTTTACGTTGTGCCCTCCAGGTTTGGATGGGAAGCTGGACAAACACTTCAAGTAATGCGGGAATTATGTCTTCGGAGGTATCGAAGAATCCCTCGAACATACGAGGCTTCTGGCAACCTTATGAATTGTACTTTCAAACTCAAAAGTGGTCTCCCCAGCAGCAAAAAATTTGAAATTCTTCTAGAAGCGTTAGTTTCAATTTTTTTTGGCTAAAATTTGCTTTCACATTTCTTTTTAATAGAATGAATGACTACTTGGATGGCGCGATCTTCGCGGTTAGAGCGACCTGTAACTACTGCAGTATGGTGAGCGCAGCGGTCATTAAGGAGGGCTCGCGTCAATCAATGGATGTGATTGGAAGGGCTTTCATTACAAAAATGGTGGAGCGCGATAATATCGAATTAAAATGTAATTTTATAATTCAGAAACCATTTAACGAATTTTGACCATACTGAATTCTAATTATTTTAATTTTATTCTTTATTTTTTTACTTTTGAGTCGGTGGACACAAAACTCATAAAGTCGGGGCTAAATGCAATGTATTCATGTTCAAGTAACTGGAATTAAAATTTTCGAACAATATGTAAATATCAATCATAGGCTAATATTTAAATTTTTAAAGTAGTAAATATTTCGATAAGGGAAGACGTTAATAAAATAATGGGTCATGGGGTCAAGAACTCTCATTTGATTTTGGGATTTATTGGAAATCTACATTTTCTTGTACCTGTGAGGAACACCACACAAACATGACTGAACCAAGCAATCCTTTGTGCACTCGAATGTTCGGGAACGTGCAGACGTAATGCTAATCGTACTAGGGAGAGGGGAGATGTCGGGCCAATGAGATCACACGTTCAGTGACCTCTTAACCAATCAATCATTAACCATGTGGAATCCAGGAGTCTCCTTATTTCATGTATATATACATACATATATACATATACATATATATATATATATATGTGTGTGTGTGTATGTGTGTGTTGCAATAACTCAATTACATTTGAATTTCTCAACAGTGTCTTCAAAAACACTAAGGCAGCCAGAATAAGCTAACAGGGAATTACATATAACTATTCATCACAAACCCAGTTACGACTAAGAGTCCAACTGGATGCAAAATCATTTGTGAAAATTAAAAGACAAAGAGATGATTTAGATCGGTGGCTAATTTGACACTCATAATGGAAGGCGACTATAAGGAAGAGTGAAAAGGAATAGGAGAAACGATGTATATTTCAATTTATGAAAATAGGAAAGACTAATGAAAGAAACAAATGCATTCAAGAGGTAAAATTTATGAAATCCAAACATCGAATCTCCTATTTCTTACAGCAACACGGTTCGTTTCCCTAGATAACTATTGTATGACATTATAGTTCCCATCGGTAATTTACGGCAAAAGTACAAGTACAACAGTTTATTGAGCTTTCAAAAATTCATGAAGTCATACTCTCGATTATTTAATAAAGTTATTTCCAAAGTCGACTTCTCGGACATCCACTTTGCTTTGGAGGATTCCGGCTTCACCGGATTTGGAAGATGAAGACCGAGCTTACTAAAATTTGGAAAAGAAAGTTTAACAAAGAAAAAGTTAAATCGATGAAAAAGTTAGCTACATAACTTATTTTAAGGAATTATTAATTATCCATACAAGAAAATCTCTATTACAACACCCATATTAATGGAGTGAGTCGAATTTGATCGTATTTTGTAATAGTAATTAGGGTCCACCCAAAGATTAAAATATCGATTAAACGAATGAAGTTAGATGTTTTATACAAGTCATTAGTTTTGACTTATTCGTAAGTATTTCTTAAAACTCATAAATGATGAACTATGAATAAGTAGGCACTGATTGATTGCCTTACAATTTTTTGGATCGAAGATCAAGAAATTGGTCCTTAACATCGAGCTTAATTTCTTCCTTCATTGTTTCAGGTAGCTTTACGGTCACCTGACGGAGAAATTAGTGAATGGTATGATTTTTAATAAGTTGAAGCGTTTAAAATGCCCAAAGTAACTAACCACGAGATATTCACAGCAGGCTGTTGTCGCATTCTTGGGGCCCATTTGCAAATACATATCCTCTGCACTAACATCCTGTTTATAATGGATTTCATATCTTAACGAAAAGAATAATGAAACATGCCCGCTTAATAAATGTCCAAATCAATTATTAGGAAAAGTGATTTTTAATTCTACTCTTAATGATAGCGAAAGCACTTATATGCTTTGCGGTGGTTTAGAATGGAATGGTGATGATAAATCAGTCTTAACTAATTGCTTTCGAATCAAGGTGGAAACCCACATGCACCTCTGCGCGCCTTATTTGTAAGCTGATACTTTTTGATTGGATGCTCATCGGCAAACACAAGAGGTGAAACTACAACACTACGTTTTGACAAATAGACAACAAACTTTTAATCTACATTTCTAGGCTAAATCACATATCCAGATTGCTGCTGTCTAATACAGTTGAACTCTTAGACTTCCTTCACGACTCCATATTGATCTTTCTACTCTGTTCACCTTTCCCCTCTCATTGTTTTCAACTTAATCAATACGTACATGATCCAACTTAACTCCTGATGTTACTGTTTAGAGAAGGCCTTTTGTATCCAATTAGCTTTTAAGAAATTCAATCCTTCTGTAATGGTGGTTTAGAATCCAACTACGTCAGACGATTAAACTAGCATAAGCGTAGTGATTAGAACCACTTTACCAGTGGGTACAGCAACTTCTAAACTTGATTGACTAAATAAAACTTACAAGAATAAGTGGATAATTCAGTTAAGAATATCATAGTGAAATACTGATAAAAATACTGTTTTGAGTGAATTAATGTAATGGATTAAAAAAATCTTACTCAGGCTGTGGTCTGGGATCATAAATGTCCTCAACATATATCGTATCTGGTACCTCATCCAACTTCCATATGTCTTTTGAGTTGGCTGAGAGCTCCTTGTCTACTTCTATATTTTGCTTTACATTAAAAATCAGAGAAGTTACTTTTGGTAGCGTTCTTTTTCTTTTTGGGGCCTATTTCCCCTGGACCGTATCTGATAGTTTGTTTAGCGAGCTGAAATGTGAAATTTACTTTTTTGTGAATTATAACTAAATTTAATTAACTTTTATTTCATTCACACTTTTTCTTCATCACTGGAATCGTCATTTGGGGAAATAAGCTTTTTGAGCGCACATAGATCACTAACTGTAAACTGAGAATCCATAGGAATACCTAAAATGTAAGTATATTAGTAGCAAAAAATTGGACAGAATTAATTCTAATTATTATGATTCGAAGACGGCACATGTGGGCCCTATCATCATTTAAAATTAATAAGGACAAAGCAAGGATCTTTAATGAAAGCCAGGAATATATGTTTTCCTAAACTCCTTGTGAACAAGCATGAAATTTTCAGCTTATGCTACTTAAATTTCCATGAATGGTAAAAGATTATGACAAAATAATGTAGTTAATACCACTAGTAAAATTTCGCAAATATTTAGAAATTATGAAAAGGTAAATGCTTTTAAAAATGTGTAATACAAATTTTTATAAAGAGTATTGACATAATAAACAATTTGTATTGTCTTGAGTTTTAAAAATTTGCGCATTAAATTGCAACTAGATGTAATTATATGCAATTTAGTAAAAGTATTTATTATTTAAAAGATAATTAAATTTATTCGCTTTATAAGAAGTTGAAAATAATAAAATTTTTATAAGCGTCTTAAAGTTAGGGAGTACCTGCAACAGTGGGAACATTCTATTTTTAGAACTATTTATTATACATGACTCGATCTTCCTCACTCTACTGCCGCTATATCGTTATCCATAAATCTTTTTAAATTTATTTAAAAAGAGAGATCGTATCTGTCATCGGATGCTTTCCGGCATTTATTCGAAGTAATTTAACGTTCATTATGTGTAGTCATAACACCAGTGAATGCCTGTGCGAAGTAAATAACTATTAATATTAGTTAGGATTACAGTATTGCAGCAAATAAAAGGACTCATTTCCCCGAAAAGTAAAAATTTCCACAAAATTCATAGTTACTTAATCCTTCCTATCTAAAATTGGAAGTTTATATTATTTAAATATAATACAGTTTGCTGTGTGTTATTTAAGATTTATGAAAAAATTAAATCAATAAAACCATCTAATGATTCTAGTCATTTTATATTTCAATATATATTTTAAAATATAAATAACTTTTCAGTTGCCCCGCTTACATCAACTATTAGATTTCTTTGAATTCTCATAAGTATTCACATTTTGTCACAAAAAACGATGCGTTTAATTAGCAAACGGGAAAACGATAAGATATTCGAATTTTAATTCGGAATTTGTAGCTTATTTATGTATAACGTTTGGAAACACCTCACAATTAACAATGAGCTTGAAGCAAAGTTTGGGCAACAAATCAAATATTCAATTCTTTGAGGCTTTACTTCCGATAGACTTACCTCCACGTGGTGCACCCTGGGCAACGCATTCTCATACGGCAAAAAAGTCTTTTAACTGGCAGTTGTCTTCTCACTTCAAACTACCATGACCCCATTGTATGTCTTATTCGATCACTTCCACCATGCTTATCCTACTTTTTCTTTGTGTCTGTCTGTCTCTTTTACATCTTTGAATCACTCTTCTGCCCCCCTCTTCACTTTTTATCCCTTTGATGTTCCTCCTTCCTTCTGTGAAGCCTGAAGTCGGCTAAAGGGCAAATGATAGTATCATAAAGCTTGCCATTTAAAATAAATAAACTTCCGAATTCAAAGGTGTTATCGGGAAGATGTGCGAGAAATTATTTTCTGTATTTACGTCTTACAATTTCATAAAAAATGCAAAAAACGAAAATTATCAAAACGATTTTTTATTTTCAATGCAATATGCTTTTAAAGATTGCGTACTTTTGAAAATATAGGCAAGGAATTAAATTTGTTTTAATGGTTTTCTTTCATGTACTCAATAAGACCAAAATGGGGCTTAGTAAATCAAAATTTGGGAAAAGCAGTAGGGATCTAAATATATCAAATTTTAGGAACGAAACATTTCAAAAGTAAAATCATCATTCATTTTAATTTCTCAGAGAAAAAGTAAATCCGGATGTATATGTAATTTCAGATCGTACAAATGCCATATGCGGAAGAGTGCCGAATGAGGTTAGTGGACTTCAGTTTAGAATTAAAAATTGCAAAGCAAGTTCAAATTTTTCATAATATCAGGATTCTCATCTTTATATTTTTGATTATGTTAATACAGTAACTGTGGATAATTGTTCAAATTGCACAATTGTGTTTGGAGCTGTCAAAACGAGGTAAGATCGCTATAATTTTTAGCTATTGTTCAAGTATTTTCATTCGATATTCCAATGATTGCGTTATTCTTGCTGCCTGCCAGCAGTTTCGTGTTAGGGATAGTGAAAGCATTTCTGCCTTTATTGCGTCTGTTTCGGAACCTATTATCGAAAATAGTAAATCTATCCTATTTGGGCCTTTTCAGCTCTCATATCCCCAAATTAATGGTATTTGCACTTCATTTTATTATGATTTGTTTTTCTGCATTTGTACGTTAATAAAATTTATTCCAATCAGTTCAATTTCGCGCTGCCGGGTTGAATCCATTCAACTGTTCATATTCCTCAATTCATGATTTCTCCTCGCGTGGAAATACGCCGCGTAACTATGACTTTCTGAACCCTTTATCAGAGGTTAAAATTTGTGTTCTTCTTCCTCAACACTTGGACCCAACTGATCGCACAATTGATGGTATGTTTTTCCTTTTGCACATCTTTTTGTCTTTGCACCCTGTTCTTTTCCAATGTTATGTATGAAATCAATTTTATGTTGAAGTGTGTTTGTCCTTGTTTTCTTTGTGACCCGATTTCGCCAAATGAATTTCTCATTTGAACCTTATCACTCGCTCTGCTTTAGAAATATATTTATTTCAAATGGCAGGCTTTATGATATTTATCATTAGTCCTTAATTTTTGATTTCAGCTTCCCCTAAGGGTGGGGGGTACATTTATTGCGATTAATTAATAGCAGTTCATGTGCTGTCTTCTTGCTTCCCGGTATCTCTGGCTTCCCGTCGTTGTCCTTAGTGGTGGACACCGAATCAGGTGGGTCTTTTCCATTTCCTCCTTAAGGTTACATAGGGGGCATGTGAGTTGAGTGCATACTTCCAATCTGTGAAGGTTGCCAGTGTATACTCCCAATCTTTGAAGGTGTTTTGCCAGGCAATCCGTCCGGTACGTAGTCTAAACTCAGCAACGGCTTCGATTCTTGGCCAAAGTTAAACTCAGCAACGGCTTCGATTCTTGGCCAGTCGGCAACGGCTTCGATTCCTGGCCAGTCGGTTATATCGGAGAGTGCCAACTGTGTTTCTCCTTTGTTCGAGCTTTAATTTCGTTGCCTGTCTATCTCCTGTGTTCGAGCTTTAATTTCGTTGCACCTTGAGGTATGTTTTCTCCTTTGTTCGAGCTTTAAATTCGTTGCACCTTGAGTTCTGGAATTCTCTTAGCTTTGAGTTCGTTGAACCTTGAGGTCTGGAATTCTCTCTCCTTCATTGTGTGGAAAGACATCTGCCGGTCCATGCATTGTTCGTTGTCCTCTTCTTAGCAAGTGTGTCAGCAAGCTCATTACCTTCGTACCCTTCTTAGCAAGTGTGTCAGCAATCTCATTGCCTTTAAGCCTTCTTAGCAAGTGTGTCAGCAAGCTCATTGTCTTTAATACCACAATGACCAGGAATCCATTGTAAAACCACTGTTTTGTTTTTCACTCTCAGCTGTTTTGGGTGGCTCTCTGTTTCCAATTGAGTTTATTGCTGACTGTGAGTCCGAAAGTATCACGGTTTTGGTGAATTTCGTATCTAGGCAACATAATTGGTATAGTGCTATCCTAATGGTCTCTATTTCTCCTTCAAAAGCGGATCTATTGTGTCCCGCTGCTGCGTAGAAAGAGAAGAGTTCAGAATAGACACCTGCACCAACGGTTGCTTGGTTTTCTATGCATGACCCATCAGNATTATTGGCTGAATAAACATCTTGTAAGTGGTGTTTAGAGTCGAGCGCGCACAGCCCCATAGGCTACCAGCAAGACGCTTCAGTACATTCAGTCTATTGGAGACTCGTTCTGCTATTTTAGCAATGTGACTTTTCCACGTTAGCTTTGTGTCAAAAGTCATTCCGAGATATGTGAACTCATTGGTTTTTTCTATGGTAGTATCCTTGTACCTTAGATGTGGGTTTATGCTGTGATGGGCCAAAGAAAAGTTTGGAATGCAGTTTTTGCAGTGTTGATTACCATTCCATTGTTGTCGCACCAGTTTGCTAGTTGTTTAAGTGCACAATTTAGGGCACTTTCTGTCCTCTCCTGAGCGTTTTTCTTAGGGGCGGAATACCATAGTACCAGATCATCTGCGTAAAGTAAGCACTTGATGCCCGTGACTGTCTGTACCAATTCGGCTATGTCATTGATGAAGACATTGAAAAGAGTGCAGCTTGTGACAGCTTCCTGTGGAAGACTTGTTTGTAAAAGATTGGATTTTGATAGAGCATTTCCGTATCTGACTTTACACGATCTTTGTCCAATGAATGCTTTTATCCAGTTTAGCATGTTATGCTTAATACCAGTCTTTGCCAATTTTAGAATTAGCTCCTCTTTCCATACTAAGTCATATGCTGATTTGAAGTCGACGAAAACCGCCGTAAGGGTATTTCTTGCATCAAGGGTATCTTTGATGTGTTGGGAGAAAGTGGCTACTTGTTGGTTTGTTGATCTTTGTGGCCTAAAACCTGCTTGTTCACTCCTAAGAATATTGTTGGTCTCAAGGAACCAGGTGAGCCTCCTGTTAACCATTCTTTCCATAAGTTTAGCCAGAACGCTTGTGAGGGAGATAGGCCATAGTTGTCAAAGTTGCTAGGGTCTTTGCCCTTTTTTAGTACTGGTATTACTACGGCAACTTTCCATTGGTTAGGTACGAGACTGGTCTCCTAGATTTTGTTGAAAAGCGTCAGCATAGTTTCCTTGGCTTTGGGTCCCATTCTAATTAGAAATTCCTGATGAATACCGTCTTCACCAGGAGACTTTTTGCACTTGAGCTGTTTCATAGCAGCATTAAGTTCGCAAGGTCGGAATGGTTCAGTAAGTACATTATTTGGTGTTGCTATGTCTTCCTTAATTTCACCAAACTGTCTTACTTGTATCTTTGAATCTCACTCCGCTTTAGAAATATTAACTTTGAAATATGGTTTCTAAACTTGGTAAACGGTTTTTCATACCTGTCAATTCACTCTTCCAAATTTCAATCCGTCGAGAACATCAATGCACTTCAAATTATTTTCCGGCTATTGGAGATAGGTATTATTAGTGCCAATGCCAAATTAAATAAATTACTTTGATATCCCTCTATGAAGTGTTATCTGACAAGCCAAAAAAGTTAAAACAGCGCTTTAGTCTGGATATTTGGATGTCACGATTTCGATACTCGTTATCTAGTGCTTTATAGGGTTCCTTAAATCTCTGGTTCCTTCAACACATCTCACCAATAAACCTGAGAAGTAATAAGTGATTTTTTTTCAAGTCACTTAATGTTCTTAATCCTGATTTTTAAGCTGCAGATCGTTGATCTGTTTCTATTTTTTTAAATTTACTAAAAAACAGGCATCATACACGCAATCTTTTAACCCTATTCCACGATTTTTTGATAATAGCTGTTTGAATTTAGATGCTTTTATTTCGATTGTTCCTTTTTGCCTTTTCGTGGTTCAAAGGTCAACATGCATGTCTATGCATACTATTTGAGAGCTATTTCCTCGGTAATTCCATTTAAATTTCGCATCACATTCGATAACTTGTTGACTGTTAGTTCACATTTGTTCTTACCCACGTCCTATTCAAAGATAAATTAGTCATTTGGTCGGATGAGAAATTTCCTCTTTCTCTCTAATATGTTAATCGATGTTTTCTTGCATTCGGCTTCATATCAACAGCAGCGAGCAATTTTCAGATTGTTTAACGGACTTGCTTATCTGATTCATGTTCTGAAAATTTTTTCGATTTAGTCAGTTGTTATATTTGCCTCAAGAAGTGTGCGATAGACTTACCTCCACGTGGTGCACCCTGGGCAACGTATACTCATACGGCAAAAACAGTCTATTAACCGGCAGTTGACTTCTGACTTCAAACTACCATCACTCCACTGTATGTCATAATCGACTACTTCCACAGTACTCACCTCACATTTTTTCTACCTTTATGTCTGTCTCTTTCACATCTTTGAAACACTCTTCTGTTCCCCCCCCCCTTACCCTCTCGACTTCTTTCGATTTGATGTTCATCTCCCTCTGTGAAGCCTGAAGTCAACTAAAGGGCTAATGATAACTATCAAAACGCCTGCCGATTGCTATAAATATTTGCCTCATATTTTTGCCTTGGAAGTTGGGATTTGTTTGATTTTTCACAAGTTAATGAAGTCACTTGCTTTATTTGGTAAACTTAGCACTTACACAGAGGCCTGTGTAAAACTGCTTTCATTTACCGATTTAACAACAAGAAACTCGAAGGCTTCATATTTTATTGAAAACATTTTGTTATCAGAGCAGATTTATTCTATTGGTTGTTTGATTCCTTATTTAGCCAATCTGTTTTGAATTTTTTTGTCCATCAAACACAGTTTGATCTTATTGCAGTATGGTCTTAAGGTTTCATTTGGCTATTAGCTCTCATTGAACCAATCACGGTTTTATCAGTTGTGCATCATGGATTCACTTCTTCCTTCATACAATTGTTGTTACCCGAATTAATTGTGAATTGGCCTGATTTCACGTCATAATATTGTCCCATGCTGGCAAATTGCGGACAGCACTGATCTATTTGATTTTTGAGGTTCCTAAGCTAGTTACCAATCAATGGTTATTCGATTTGATGTGATTATTCCATACCTAATAAGCGAAATCTCCATCTTTTCTATTTAACTCGGTATGCTTCTTTTATCCTCCATTTAATCGTTTTTTTCTTAACTAATTTTCTTGTTGATTACTCATTTCGCACCATTAAGCTGCATAGTTTATGCATAATGTTTTTCATTTGCAAAGGCGAACGTGTGATATTGAGTTTATCTTAATGTGTTCCTGTCTTAATCGGATTTAAAAAATTTCAGAAGATAAAGTGTAATGCTTACTGATATATGTGCAGAAATTCTAACTCAAAGTGGTTTTACAGTTTGTTTTATGGGTAGGGGCCTATTGCATCACATCGCTGTTCAATCAATCATTTTCTCATTTTTGGGGTGTGCGATAGACTTACCTCCATGTGGTGCACCCTGGGCAACGTATTCTCATACGACTTCTGACTTCTAACTACCATGACCCCACTCTATGTCATATCCGCCCACTTCCACAGTACTCACCTCACCTTTTTTCTACCTTTGTGTCTGTCTCTTTTACATCTTTGAAACACTCTTCTCTTCCCTCCCCCCCCCCTCTCGACTTTTTTCCCTTCGATGTTCCTTCCCCTCTGTGAAGCCTGAAGTCAACTAAAGGGTTAATGTTAACTATCAAAACGCCTGCCATTTGATATAAATAAATGTTCTTATTTTTTCTCGTGTGTGATAAGTATCAGTAGAGGTTTCACCCCTGTTACCCCCTTTGCTAACAAACCTATCACTTGCTCACTCTTATATCAATAATTAACCATAACACCTAGGTAGTTTTTAAGTGCATCTCACTCTGTGAAGCACCGCTTGCACAAATCGAGGTTTTCACAGTTAATTTCAGTCAGCTGATTGTCGACTCTGCCAAACCAAATTGGTTGAGTGGCTTTCTCGATTGACCAATCAGTTGAATATGTGGGTAATGTTAAGCGCTCGGCTCATTTTATTAAATTCTTTAAGGTCTAGGTACACCAATTGTAGTCCAACTAAGTTCATATTTACTCGTTCGTTCTATTGGTCTTTGAACCAATAATTGAACTAGTAATTCTTCGACTCAATTTCACTTTCTCATTTTTACTCAATCGAATAAATTTTTTTTACCTTTAATGAAGTATATATGAGTGATTTTAAGTTTGTTGCGCTTATTTCTCTTAAAAGTACTTCACACTTATTTTATTTGGTTCTCTAATTTTTGTTTGGGTTATTTGTATACTACCTTTGTTTTTAAGTAATATTTACTCTTATTGAAAGTGCGAAAGTGTGGGCTTCACTTTTGTGGATGCATTACTTCTTGTGGTTTTGTGATGGAATTACAAATTGGATAAATAATTTAAATAGGTGTGGGTTTTTGAACTTACTTGTGCTGCAAAGTGTTACATCTTTTACCTTATACAATCTTTTTGAGCTAAATTGTATCGGACCCATTTGTGGAAAATAAACAATTAGTGTGACAATCCGCGCCGATTAATGTCAATCAAATGCGTTTTACTATCGGGGATACTTCTGATGGTTTGTAGTTTCCTCAATAGTTGTAACATTTCTTCTCGTATTGTTATTTTATCATTTTCGATCTCTCGTTCTTCTGCTTTGTCCTGTTTTTAAAAATTTTACCATTGAAATGAGACAAAGTAAAACAGATTAAAATGCATTTTACACGATAACCTAAACTCGAATAACTATTATTTTAGAGCAATAGCGGGTAAGGTTTTTAGTCATCTCGAAGATTAGAATTTATGGATTGAAATGCTTCTGAATGGTACTCATTGAACCCTTGTTCAAGGTAAATTTATTTCAAAGCTCTTTGGAGGCATGGACTGTAGGTCACCATTCAGGAGTTTACGAAGGGAAACTTGCATCTCAGTGGTCTATCAACTAACTTTATCCATTCAGATTTGTCGCGTCGGACTAGGTTTCTACCATCCACGTTAGTCAAGCAATTGACGCTGAGTAGTTGAATTCACGGATTTCGGATCTGCGCCTTTCAACAAGGCTTTGCTGCGCATAACGACCTTGTTCATTTCTGTTGTATTTAAGTTTATCATGATGTTCACGACTGCTTCGGATTGCTAAATACTACCTATCTGGTTCAGTAGTCATTTTGATTTAAATCTTGTTTTAACTTATGTTACCTATTTCTTAAAGCATTCGGTTTCTTATTGGTAATTAGATTTATTTCTTCTAAATCGAACTGCCGGAAAGCTTTTAATTTTGTTTCTGCTTCGAGTCGTATTCCTTTTTAAATCATTTTGGCTAGATCATTGCAGAAATTTGAAGGAAGTGCTTTTAGTTTATTTTTTAGTATAAAGGTCTTAGTTTACTTGGAGAAGTCTGAGAAAAGATATTTGACTATTCCTAATATCGTCTTTCATTTAGATATTAGTCCTCTTGAAATAACCCACTTATTACTTCATGTATTAATTGCTCTTGTTCTAAGATAATTCTGCATCCTTTTGCCTCTGTGCAAGGAAATTCAAAATCCATTTTTGTACCTGGGTAATTTTATGTTTCTCAATTATTCGAACTGAACTTTCCTACTCTATGACTCATATGTTTCCACACTGAATTTTATTTCTCTAACCCCGGAATTCGACAGATATATCTTATTTGTTTTGATATTTCCATACCCGGGTCAAATTAGTAATGCTTGTTTTATAGATTTGGAAGTATTGCAACGCTTGAAGTCTCTACAGGCTACCTTGGATCCAAATCTATCGATTGTGCCTCCCACCTACTCTGGACTGTTAATCAACCCATCTCCTGATGGAGGATTTGCTCTCATTGGATTATTTTTTCACATCGGTGTGGAAGGCAATGCTAGACAACTTATCAAGCGTCTTTATGACCTCTCGGTGAGTGAGATATAGGAAGAAATGCACTGAATGTTGCCTCTCAGAAGATGGCTTTACATGCATCGGGGTATTCAGATCTCTGTTCTCTGTTGGTTGGCGAATAGTATATACACACTATGCGTCACGTCATTTGTCTTGGGGTGTCATTTTGGTCAGTTGTCTTTTCATTTCATTTTCTGTTCCCAGCGATTTCGAAAAAATTCGCCGTGAAAAGTTAAACAATTAAAAAATGAAAGAAAGAACTGTAAATAGTTTTATTTATGTGCTTTATTGGTTTAGACTAAAATATCTTTTACTCAAGTAATTTACCGTTTATTTTTAACGAATTCAATGCCATTTTTTCGCATTGGTGTTGTCAATACTAGTCCTTATTTTTTTAGGACCCAACAATTTCTTAATTTTTTTAATAACATAATATTTATCAGGAGTTTTGTTTTTCCGATTTGAAGTGTTCAGTGGAATGTGAGTTCTAGAAAATGTACTAGACTAGAATCATTTCCTCTTGAGCACTAACATAATTGGATAATTTCAAATTATTAGCCCCTAAACTAAGCTCATGCCAAACAGGGCATTCATAATTATCTAGAATTTGTTCATAGTTGCAAAACGAGACTCTATTTCAAAATATCGTTTTGCTGAAATGGAATAATCATAACAGTTGCTATAACAATTTTCTCACAGTTCTGTGCTTTCGAATAAAGCATGTTGGAGTTGGATAATATTAAGAGCCAAGTCACAAGACTAATTTCTTCAATTCATTTGATATTTTTTTTCAAATGAAATGATCATGTATTATCTTGATAGTTGCGCTATTTTACTTTTGTAGTATAAATTACTTATAATTCAGAAGCCCACTTAGACAATCGGTCTTAAAACCCTTCTTCTATTAGTAGAGCCTGTTTAATGAAAGTGCCTGTTAGGTTGGCCATTATGCTGTTGGAAATCAAATTCGTGATCTTTGACATGAAAAATGAACACGGTGACCAATGTGCCATCTATGCGCGCCCACATCACAATGTAAAAGTCCTACACACCAGCGTTGTGCTAAATACTCTCTATGGTATTTAGAAGCACTGCTCGTAACTCTGCCACCTTCCTTTCCCTCTTGTAGGTCTATTTGGTGAGATCTCGTTGCTTGCAATACAGTCGTGAGGATATTACTAGGATATTTGGCGATTCAACTCTTGCTAAACACTCTGCATTGGGTAAGTTATCGTGATTGCTTGGTAATATTTATGCTTCTCTTCCATTATTACATGCTATTTGCTTGAAGCATCATCTCTCCCCATTCACTCGGTAGTCTTACGCTCTTCGCTCAAGTTTTAGATATGCTATTTCTGTATGTCTAGTTGGGTGATAATATATTTCATCCATTTTTGTAAGAGGAATATTTGAAAGAATTCTTGAATTTCCACTTTTATTTAAGGTAGATGTGAAATGAAATCATTTCCTGTCGAGTTCTGATTTAGAATTCGATTCCATTTGGGTGTAGAATGTTGCTTTCATTTATGTTAATTTATTCAATTAGATTTACAGATTGGAACAACTTCGATAGTATCCAACTGAAAGTGAATGCTGTCAAACCATGTCTGATTACTAATCAGACCTTAATTAAATTGAAGTTTACCGGGTTATCCCTATTTTCATTTTCTAAGATATCGTGAATCCAAGTCACTCAAGTTTGCATGTGCTTTCTTAGATAGTGATGCGTTCACTATCTTGGTTCTCCCAAACTTGAAATTCATGATAAATGACCTACAAGTTTTTAAGAAATTCAATTTAACTGAACTTGTTTATCCTTTAAACAATCATCTATGATAAATTTCGGCTTCCGATACAAGTATTTATATCTTCCGTTATAATGTCTTGATCCACGAATTATGGATCACACATTTTTACTTTTTCGCTTGGCTATTTGGTTTTTGTCATTCCATAATACGTGTTATCTTTCCCGAGGAAAGGAGGTTGCCGACTATTTTGCTCACTTCTCTCTACGCCACATCCCTCTGTTTATATTGTCTCGTCCTACTTCTCTAAATACAGATCTTCTGTATTTACTTCTCTGTACGTCTCGTGTTATTTAAGAGGTATGCTCACATTTTGCCTGTGTACATATAGGCTAAGTGAAAACTTATCTAAGCAAGGAATAAACACTCACACACACATGGAGAGATGTGCGAATTTATTTCTGCTGAATATCACATTGTGCTAGCTGGGCGAAGGTTCTCTCAAAATGTATGGAGGAAAGGTTCTTAGCATGCTCTCATTATTGAAATCGCTACTCTGTTTAGACAAATTTACCACTTCAAGTATTTGTAGGAGTCCGATGGTAGAGTAGGACTGGACAAAGCATGTACTTATGCTCTCAATAATTGTAAAGTCTCCTTGTGTTCACGTGTGTTTTAGAAGACAGGTAGTAACCGTTTTAATTTATCACTTACGTTTCTATATGTAGAGGGGGTATCCTTTCTCTTTATATGCCGACTTCTCTCTCCCCTTCCCTCTCTCTCCAAAGGAACCTACTGAACTGTTTCACCTGTCTTATCTGCTTGCTATGGTCAAACATATTTGTTTCAGCTCTTACTAGCTCATTCGTCATATTCCAAATATGGTTTGATAGATAACCATTAGGGTCATGCTACTTTAGGTAATTTGGGGGGATCACTGATAAGGTTTTATCGGAGACTAAAATGAATAAATGTTCCTAATTTGAACACCCAAAAGCTCACATTTACTGCCCATTTCTATTTTTTCTATTCCTCACTGGAAAGTAGCTTTAGGGTTAGCAATTTCGAAGGAACTTGAAACCTCGAGTTGAGAAGTCTATTAGGAAAGAGGAATCGGACTTCAAAACCGCGTTCTTTGCTTAGACTTGACTGTTGTTTCAATGCAGTTAGAACCCACTGTTCATTTGCCCAGCCCCAAACTCTCTTACACGCATCAAATCCAGACAGACATTTCTGGGCTTTTGGGTCAAGTGACGGCCGTTACTGGATTTGTCTATTTTTTTCATTTTTGTGCACCACAACAGCTGGTGGGAATTCGTATCCCATTAGGAATAATATGGGTAGCGGAACAGTAACTGATATCTTGAATCCCTATCTAATTAATGTTTAAATTATTGGAGGAACAAGTATATTTCCACCATTCTGTTTTTTTACTTTACAACCCTATCCGCATGATAACCTACTCTTAATCGCATCATTTGTTTTTCTTATCTTCAATCTGGACTTGATTGTCTGTTTGATAATCTTTTTAGTATGAAAAAAAATATTTGTGGCTTGTGAGGAAGTGAAAAAGTGATGGAGGAAGATCGATGATAATTTTTAATGTGATTCTAGTATGTCACAATTATCTCACCAAATTTGATCCTTCCTCTCCACTCCTCCTTGTGTCCTAATATCCACATTTCAGATTTCATTCTTCTATTTGAGTGAATTGATGTTCAAATCTTGTAATGCATTGTAAATTCCATGTTTATGCAGTAAAGGGTTTTTTATCACTCATCTTGGGTTGAGAGTGACACAATGGGCCCTCACTATGAGAGATCTGCACTCTAACTTTAACACCTCGATTGTCCATTCCAGTCACTGTGTTCATGGCTTCTGACATGGCCGACGTCTGAGGTGACCAATGCTCCAGCTGAACTATTAATTTTGCCAGTTGCTCAACTACTTCAAAAAAATAGGAAATGGTACGATCCAACTTATTTTAACGTGAAAATGTCAATTGAGATGACTGGTAGTGAATACATATTTTTCATGTCCGTATGGTAGTCCAATTAGCACCTCAAGTTCATGAAATTGTATATATATCTGAAATTATGTCCACGTCGTTTTGAATACATATTCAACTCTTCATTGTCTTTTCGCTTGTTTGTGAGAATTATTTTTAGTATTTTTTTTCAACAGAAGTACATTTTTCCTGTGTTCCAGTTGAAATTTACCCAGAACTGAAGGAGATCCATGAAGTACTTTCATCAGGTTTTAAATTCACTTATAAAATTTTATTTAAAATTAATTTTGTCGGTGACGTAATTTTATGTGCTAAGTTAGTTGCTACCTTTCGTTGAGTTCTTATTTAATCTCACCCCAACGATCTTATCTCAATATATTTCGTGGTTAGTTTTGGGTCAGTTGGTTGAATATCTTCACTTTTAACTCCCAATTTTATGTCTTTTTGATTGAAAACTCAGTTTCCGCTATTTAACTGATAACAATAGACGTCAAAATTTATAGGTTTAAATTCATTTGTTCTTGAATTTACAAAAAAATGGCATCAAGGCTTATTGGGACACTCCGGGCCTAATAAGTTTGAAGTTTGTCAGAGTGGCGAAAAATGGCATTCTCAAAATTTATAGCACAAGGATTTAAGTTTATTCAACGAGACTTATTAATTTTTCTTCTCAGCTGAGTGAAGAAGCAGGTCATTACCTAGACTCGTTTCAGAAACTTCATATTAGCAAGTCATTTTGAGGGAAAGAACTTTTTCGCTTAGTTTAAGAAATGCCCTCTCTCTCACACTCCTTTGATTACAAAGCAAACAATATCAGCTGATGATGGTTCGTCGACCTCATTTCAATATTCTTAAACAAATATGATGACTTTGATAGGTGCATGTGCACTTTGACGCTTGCTAATCGACTGTGCAAGTCCCCCTATTTACCATCCCCCCATTAACGAGCAAATGCTCTGCTATTCCTTCCCACTGTTCATCTTCGTGTTATTTATTTTCAGCACACTATCCTTCAGTGTTCAATTTTAGTGTTGTTCGAAAATAAAACTGATTTTATGCACGTCTGAAAAAAATGCTCATGTGTTCCATGTAAGGAGTATTTAACTTAGGTTGAACAGGTTCAAGTTAGAACTACTTATTTACGAGTACTGGGTAATCATCACGTGTGCTTCCTTTGTGTCATTAAATATATTTAGTTTGAAAATTATCTTCACCGATTAAGTTGAAGCTCTGCATTATATTTCTATAATCATTTCTATTGAAATATTGCCCGGTTGTGTCTTTGAAGTCTCTTTCCACTCGGAGACTAATTCTTATTCTGTCCAAATCAAGTGTCTTTATGATTCATCGACATACCCTTTAGGCCAAAACCTTACCTTCTCCGGACGCACAAGTTTTAACAATTTTTCATGATTTAAGAATTATAATTCTCGGCGAGTTTGTGAGATTTATGCCGAAAATTAAAAGATTACGTGAATGAAATGCTAAATATTCGCTAAGTCATCGAGTTCTTCGAAGATGTTGTTCCTGTTGTTCCTGTTATTGTTGAGATATCGTTATAGCTTTGTCCTATTACTTTCAGCTTTGCACCTAATTATCCAGATTTCTTTCTGATATTTGATACCTACTCAAGATAGTTTGAGATATTTTCTTAAATTTTATCCCCTATCAGATTATTTTGGCTTTTTTTCATCTAATTTAGGTCTTTCAAATTTATCCAACTTGTATTCTCTTCTTGAAATGGTATCATTAACAGTTATGGTATGCTCCGTTTTTATTTCGAAGTTTTGGTGATGTCTTAATTGATTTTTTACATCTTTGTTTTAACGTCACCGCTTAACCTTTGTTTCTTGCTGGCCTCACCAATTTGCTTAGTTATTTGGTTTAGTAATGCCCCGTTTTCGAACATTGGTGAACATGCTCGCCTGGTCCTATGTCCAAATTTTTTAATTCTGCTGTCGATTTTGAATATCTAAATGGACTTTTATCACCTTTTATTAATTGTGAGAGCCAGCTATCATTGAAAAGCATTAAGTTCAGCAAAATAGTGTATGGTGAAGATCAAAGAAAATACAAAAGCAACAGCGAATGGTAGTCTATCATGATCGGCGTCTAGTCTTATCTCCAAGGAGTGACGGTCTTTCTGCTTATACCCTTTTTTTCTTCTCAATGGTTGAGAAGGCAAATGGCTTTGTCGATTTGACCTAAGATAGCTTACTGATTTCACTATTTTAGGGAGAATTTAAAGTTCTGGTTCTTTCATTTTTATCCTGGTTAAGTTTTTATTGAATTTTGCGGGGTATACCGTCTTGATTGTCCGTTCTACAATTTTTTGTTAACTTGTGAGTGGCTGAAAATTTCAACTCCTTTTTGTGAAAGAGTAAGGAAACGCAGCAAAATGGTTATAGTAGTTGTATTCTAATCTAGAGGTCTCAAGGCTTACAAATTTCGATGGGCAAGTGGTAATACTGGTGGATAACAGTACGAATTAATTCAAATTTACAGGATTGTTGTGGAATTCATGTTCATCATAGGATCGACTCTGTGATCACTTTTCCCCTCTCTCGCTCTCTTGGGAAGTTTTGGGCATTTTTAGACATTTGCGTCCGTCTTGGCTATAAAAGCACTTCTTACAAATTGATAACGAAAGCAAAAATTGTGGTTGCGTTTTCTTTAGCTGGATTTTATAAAGTTCCTGTTCTTTTTCGTTTTCGTTCGAAATTACCCGCTAAAAGCTAAACTAATATTTTTAGATTGTGATATTCCTCCATGAAATTTCAAATTTTGCCCTGTTGTGGGGAAGATAGAAGTGGACTAATTTTGCACACAGAACGCGTTGACTGAACTTATGGGTCTACATTTAGTAGTCATTCTCCCAACAACCGTTACAGTATAAACGTTTCCATCTCAAATAACTCCTAACCATGCACTCTCTGTACTATTGGAAATGGGAATCTGCTAGACTGTACTCCCAATCACTAATATCTAATATAAAATGGCACAGGAGCCCTCTTCTCTTCACCACTCTGTATTCCAATGAAAAGGCTCATAATTTATGACCAAATACACGAATTTCTGTCATTGAATGGCATTTTTAAAAATTTTATTTATAGCGTTTATTGCTTTACACTCAAAAGGTACTCGTTGTGGGAAGAGGTGCCTACTTTGCGAGAGATTCAAATTCTACCTATTTCTTTGCTTACCTGAATTAATCCATGAGATGGAGCATTTCTGCCCTCTTTGAGTGGATAGTGGTGAACTTGTTGATCACTCTGCCACTGATGCATTTGGTGCTAAAACACAACCATTTTTCTTTGTATGCCTGTGACTTCCTCTTGTAGTTGTGAGGTTAGTATTTTTATTTTAAATTCGAAGTTTCATCTGCAAATTCGAGCTTTCTTGCGTGATGAAACACGAAATGGGCTGGGTTGCAGGTGACGAAACCGTGCGCTTAAGGAGCGAACTATGCACACACGACATTTACCTCACTTCAACGTAGACACAAAAGTTGCTAGCTTTGCCTGGGGATATTTCACGAAGCTATTAAATTGTTGCAAACCCTTGATGTGTATCTATGTCTAAGGCTACCGTTCATAAAAGTCTATACTTGGTCAGTGATTTTAGCCTTAAACTAACAGGTCTTCGGTTCGCGACTCCGAATTCGGAATTCTTCCTGATTGACACGGTTCAAAGTGACAGAAATGAGCAATTTTCTTAAGTAATTTATCATGGATTTCATTGCATAAAGCCTATACACAATATTACTTATCGTTAATTAAGATCATTGGCCAAAATGTAACGGGACGGGCAGAAAACTGTAAGATTTTAACTCTCTGGAGATTTAAGAAATCTTTTGTTCTCAAGTTGTGTTTGTTGACTCTAGCGCTTGAGAAATTCTTAGATCGATAGACTTTGTCCTTTTACGTTCATTTCGAGCTGAATTTTGATGGAAGTTGGTTAAAATAATATCATAGCTTAATTATATCTACCTATCTGTCACCACTATCTAGTAGATATTGCGGTGATCTATCTGACCACTGGTTATTATGCCTAATTCAGACTGAGAGAAGGTAGAGTGGAGTTGAATTTTTGGAAAAATGGATTGTTTTTATGAGTTTGGTCGGGCTGTTATGAACCACTCAATTGGAATCGCTTTTCGTGAAATTGCAGATCATGCCTATGGCTTAGCACTTTTAAATAAACACTTTATTATGCTTTTATTACAGAACAGATTGGGTAGATGACATTAAATTTAAATCAGGCTTTGGGTCCTTCACTCATCTTCTTTTGAGCAAGGTTGATTCGGAAAATGATTACCCTCAAGCCTATTTCAGAAAATGCTGTTTATATCTTATTTTTGGTCAAAAGAAGGCGTCATGTTGCTTCCCTAGTTTAAAGAGGGATTCTTCTCAGAAGTTGTGTCGATATACTTTGAACCCGTCAACTCTGATTTCGTTTATTAAAGCATTGCCAGTGAAAATTGGATTTGAGTGGCTTAGATCAGAGTGCCTTTAGAATATTGATTCCTAAATGTGGGGACTTGATATCATACTAAGATGTTTCGGTAAAGCCATCAGTAGGAATAAATTAATAAATATTTGTTGAAGTTATTGCCAATTTCAGCGAATTTTTATTTCTTTTAGGTCCCGTTATCATGCTTCAATTCTACGGTCCTCCGGGGATAGCAGTTGGCCAAGTTTGCCAAGGTGTTGGAGATGAACTAGTGGGAAGGGAGCACATCGAACCCCCAACTCTGATCCACGTAACTCTGGATTCTACTACTGCCTCAAAGCAGGCGGATATGCTCTCGCACTTTCCAGTTTCTAGAGCTTAAAACAGCCTCCTCTTTTGTCTTCCATTGTTTGTATCGTTTCTTACTTCGTTATGTTTTCTCCTTTCGCCTAATAGATTTGTTTTCCAATAAATTATATGTTTCTTTTGCATTGAATTAGTTGATTAGGATTGAACAGTAGTATATTTCCTATTTTACAAATCCATGCTTAATTAATGCACTAAAAGGTTGGAGATAGTATTGACATGTGTCTGAAGAACTGTAAGCTTATCAGGAGGTAATCGTCTGCAAAGTCAGAGGTCACGAAACTGATGACCCTCCAAGGAATGAAATTACTGAGCGCAGCTATTAATCCTAGTTAATGGATGGTTGGCGTCAGATTTAAAGTCTCCCACCAGAGGGACAGTTGGACACTGGCTCTCCTCCCTATATGCGCATTTTTAAACGCCTTCCTTAAGAGTTTTGATGTTATAACTAGCTGGAAGGTTGCTGGACATCCAAAAATACGTGTCTTTTTGTAAAAAGATGCATGCATTACAACGGTGGAATAAGTAAGAGGTAGGATTTGCCTTGGTAAAGAATATGTATTGCTTTGGTATTGTCTCAAAAGGTTGTGTCAAATTAAATCCTATTCTTAAGAATATTGTTTTCGAATAAGGCCATAAACTTTTATAAGATTTAAAAGGAAATGGCGATTGGGCACCACAATTTTAAGCAATGGTACCATCGGTACTACTAAAGCATTGACTTTCTGCCGAAATTCCCTATTGTTTCATTGTTTTTCTTCAGTGCCCTCTAGTTGGGAATTTTGTCTTTTAGAAATGAGAATCAATACCTCATTTGCCATTTTTCATGACAAATGGGTTCCATGCCTGTTAACAGGGACCCGAAAACAAATCTTTCCGATGTAGTAATCCTATTGTCCACTTTAAGATGAGCTAACTTTTTTCGGACATTCTCTAGATAGAGACGGTACTGCTCTCTTGTGCAGAACTATCCACATTACTGGAACCTTGATCGTCGATTAAAGAGCTGCCATTTGGATCTACTTCTAAATGACCCACCTTTTGTGGTCCACATATATTCTAATAAGCAGGCGTAAAGAATGGCAAATTAGCTTGGTCTCAACTTTAAAGCCAATATTTTACCATTATGGTGGTGATTGATAGAAGGACAGTTTTCTGAGGATCTCTCATGCATACGAATTAAATACCGACTTAAACATTGACGCACACTCGATGCTTTTTGCCAGTCCTGGAAGAGAGAGACTGACGAGAATTGTGGATACCACTTCTCAAAACATGGGGTAATCATTTCAGAAAACCGAAGGAGGAGTTTGATGTAGTTGATGAATAGTCCTAAAGTAATTGACGGACATACTTTTCTTCTCAAACCAACAGTGAACTGAATATCATTTTATTTAAGAGTGCTATTGCACTGAATACAACCCAAACCAGTTATTTACTTGCTACAAACAAAGCAATCCTTACGTATCATGGGAAAATGAATTAATTGGCCGGTTTTTCAATCAATATTAAAATTACCATTGGTTTCGAATGTTGGCCAATGGTTGATATTAAAGGCAAAAGTGCATGAACGCACGATGATTACTGGCTAGTGAATAATATAAAAGGTTTCGATTAACCACTAACCCTAACCACGCAAGGAGCAGTCAGGTGATAACTATGAGCGAAGGTAACTTTAAGATGTACTCTCAGGCACTAGATCCTGAGATTCATACCAATTTGGATGGACCCCACCTTCCGAAGGTGGCTAACGAGGAGAGTTCGACATCTATCGGATACATCAGTGAGGCGTCAAACCATTCTTCGGCTCATGGCTTAGGGAGATCTTCTGAATTGGAAAAAGGCGACATCGCTTTCGGTGGTTTAAATTTAACGAATAAACCGAAGGAATCGAAACCTTTGTTTAAAAGATCACTATCGGATGGATCGCATGTTCTTAGGCTAACAGTAAGTGATCACCATTACCTTTACTGACTTTTGTAAACAGACATCAAACGATAGACTTTCACCGGTTCTTCCCACAATCAAAGCATCTACCGGAGGATGTGACTATGTTAGTGTGCACACTGTTGCCCAGTTGAGTCGCGGAGAGTACAAAAGGAAGAACATTAGTTATACGATCATCGACTGCCGCTACCCGTATGAATATGAAGCTGGTCACATAAAAGATGCTATAAACTGTCATTCGTGCAGCGACCTGGCTAAGGAGATTTTCATGAACACTCCTGCCGTTTCATTTGACAAGGACCAAGTATTCCTGAATCTGGGTCCTCATATTGAAGAAATGCTACAAGGGCAAAACGAAGATGTGGAGATGCCTTCAGTACCAAATTTCAAAATATCGGGACTTTCAAAGGATCCTGAATTGGATAAAATTTTGAAAGAGTTGGCCAAAGCCGAAATGTCTGCGGACGATGAAGAGGTTCCCGTAGAGTCTGTTCCTGAAACGAATCCAGGTGCGCAACCTTCACACGTATTCATTTTTTATTGCGAATTCTCATCCCAGCGGAGCCCAGAATTGTTGCGCTTCCTGCGTAGTGTGGATCGCATTGTCAACTTCCCCCATTACCCCTTTCTCTTCTATCCTCAATTGTATTTGATGATGGGTGGTTATGAGGCCTTCTACAAGAATTATCCCGAATTGTGCGAGCCTAGGTCCTATCTAAGGATGTTTGAACATCAAAATAGGGATGAAATTCTCTATTACGTCAAATTATCCAAAGAAATTGCGGATACTTGCAATGCCTCTTTCAAAGCTTCTCAACTAACCAGGCTTGGAATACCTCCCTTTGTGAAAAGAAAGGAAAATGAAAATAAGCCGATCCTTAGACAGGTGAAAAGCATGCTTCGTAAGTTTCTACACTGACATTCAGTTTGCGTTTATCTGGTAAAGAGCGTTTAAATGAATTCTTAACCCCTTCAGATAAATCACCCACGCGGAATAGGGAAGAATTGCTAGAGGACAGCTTCGACAATAATGATGATGAAGAGGTGAATCTGTTCGAACCAGAGCGGGAAGTTACAATTTGTCATCGTCTTCGATTGGTGGAGCACATAATTCGAAAGGGTAGTTATGTTGCAAACGTCTTTGAACGTAGTCGAAAGTTGTCAATCGATTTCGAGAGTACCTCAACGAATTCCGAGGGGAAAGGTGATATGGATGCAATCCTGAATTTCTCCGATGCAAATGAAACACTTAATTGTTCGAAGAGTGTTTGAAATTGGTATCTCCTTTGACAAGCTTGCAATAGTTAGGTTCTAAATAGAAACCCTTACATTAATTAAAATGTATTTCTTTTGTCTAATACCTGTTAGCAGCTTCTACCCTGGCGTTTTAACCTATTACACTGGGAGACTTCACTATTAGATTATTGATCTTTCTATGGCTAACATCATTCATTAAGCAACGATAATGGGAGAAGGGATGTGAAATAGGGTGGTTGCCAGCTTTTGAGCATCATGTTCGCTGACGGACAATTCACACTTGTGCCAGAATTAGCGAATATTGGTCTTAAATGAAAGTCAGTAATTTTTTGACTACACTGAGAATTTACGGAGTGCGCATAAGGGTATCCAGTCAAATCTCTCAGGGCTTAAATACCCGTTATTTAAGGACTGAAATAATGATTGAGGAAGTTATTACCTGATTGACTGTGTTACCATGTTTTAATGTAAGTTCAAATGCAATTTTCTGTCTAAAACCTAATAGAAAAACAAAACCTGTTCGACGAAGAAATAGAAATTCGTTAGGGTTGCGAATAATTGTCAGCTTCGTGAATGAAAAAATCCAGATGGTGATTCACTGGGCCAAGTTGAAAAGTTACCTCCTTTACTAGTCATTTGAGGAGACTAAAATTATAACTTAGTAATTAGGCGAAAGCAGGCAGAATTTTGAGATGAACATGCCGAGTACTACAAGGGAAAGGAGGTTTATTGTGATGGACATCAGAGCGAAATAAGCACTTATACTCCTAAGTGTCGATCGGTGTGACTGCGTAAAATAATAGAACCGACGGTGGGGCTTTCTTAACTTGATTGTATCAAACCAGGAACGAGTTTTTCATGGTGTTTTGATTAAAAACGATTCATAGTTATAAACGGTAGAGTTGGCCGTTGCTACTTTTGATGCACATGAATCAATTAGCGGCAGAATTAATTTATCGACCAGTTATTTCAAATGATTGCAGTTGTCTTTTCTGGAGGATTTTGCAGGGGTGTGAGAATTCATGAGGTTGTCAGGGAAGAAGAGATAACTTGAGGAGGCATCACAGTGCATCGTTAAACCCGCCATCAATAGCCACTAACGTAGGAACGTAATGCATTGCTCACTATACCTCAGACAAAAGTTCCCAAAAGTAATGAATAACAGATGCAAAATTAATGCAGCAAAGGTTGATGTTTTGGGAAAATTATTTCGTCGAAAGTTTTAGAGCAACTTTGTCGTGAGCAGTTAGCGAGAGAGAGGTTTAAATGCTAAAACGAAGATATATGAGTACCAATCAAGACGCAAATATTTCGCAATCAAACACTTGAAGAAAAATCAATTAACAGTTAGTGTTGTCGCTAGCATGACATTTACTTTGGAACAAGCTGATTAAGTTGACTTAGACAAGACGAATTCGGCTTACATAACTAGAATTTGATCCGTAAGCTTCTCCGATAACTGCTTAAAATTGAAATTAATTAGCTCATCATTTACAAAGGTCTTATACTCAATTACTTGTAACGTACAGCTTCCGCTGTATTCTACCTGATCCAAATGGAAAAGCTTAATATAATATTGAACTAGAATTTCATTTACCCCCACACAACCTGCAAATGGCCTCATCTCATTTATTACACGAAATATGCAACTTATTTATGGGAGGAAAATTTATTCTTAAGTCAAAATGGTTTGGCCTAAATTTCAGGTAGGATCCTCGAAATATTTAATATCTTTTGGTTCATAACCCTCTAATGGTTGAATTACTACAAGTGAATTACAGGGATTAATGAAAAGCTACAGTACCAAAACATGTTTGCTTCTTCTAATGGGAACGGCCTACACTTGGGGGACAGTGAGAATTGATCAGACTAGGTATCGGGAGAAGGAAATAATATCTATAAGATGTTTCGCCAAAATGAATATTAAATAAAGAAAATATTCAAGATGAAGGCAAAGAGGCTCCTAAGAGAATCATTAGCAGGTACATAGACTAGTTGGGGTGAGGGGTGGGAGAGAAGACCTTCTTTTCAAATTATTACGGTCCAATTCCACGGGTTGTAACTTAGAGTACACCTGGAAACACAAAGTCCCCTTTGATTTTCTCTATATCAAATCTGATCCTCTTCTGATCCCATCACTTGTCCTGTTTTCACAAATCCAAATGCCATTTTAATTATTTTTTCGTTTATCGGCTAGTTTAGAAGCAGATTCAACTTAGGCACATCTATATCTTGAGGCCTAGTTAACAGAGTGGAGAAAAAAAATATGGATATGCAAAAGGCGCGATTAATTCAAATTAGGCTATGAGCGGTATTTCTAATTTTCACGCATGGAAAGTTTTAAAATGTATATTTATATTATTATTTAAAATATTTCCACATTTTAAAAAAAATATTTTTTAAATCATTTTCTTTTGTTAGGTTGTTCTATTGGAAGTCAGGAATAGATAAAGAATATTTTGACGGAAGGAAATAAAATTTCCTTCTGAACGTCAATAATAGAGAGAAATTTCTCCTTTGAGAAAATAATAATTTTTGGTTCCCAATTCTTACTCGCTAGATCAAGGCATATATTTTAAAATAGAAATATAATATAAAATATCCTCAAGGCGTAGAGAATAGCCACAGTACCTTAAAGAACTTGAGAGATTTTTAATTAATGGCCTGATGCCAATTTCCTTCTCTTATTGGGTCTTTGATTTATTTCTTAAAATAAAGAAGCGAACTCCTTCTAGACGATAAACACACCTCCATTTACCTAATTCTCGGCTTCACAAATTTCTACATTTTTTTAATAAATGAACCCATCAGTTTTTTCATTTCAATGCTATCACTGCCCCCTCTCCGACATATTGTCAGTTACACATCCCCGCTTAAATCGTAGAGGGAGTTCTCGTTCAGTCATTGATTTGTTGAAACTATTGGCAATAGGTTTTAACTAACAGTAGAAAGCCCAAAATAGATCAGTGGTCAATTTCGAATTTATATAACATAGAGACGTAGGAAACAAGGAGGGAAGAGGAAGTGAGGGATTGGGAGATTATGGAATGAAAGCGAGAAACCTGCGTCTGTAAGACACACAGGTGACGTTTAATTTTACAGGCAAAAAACCAACTGAGTTATCATTCGTAGAGGCGAGTACTTATCACTAATCAATATTCTCCAACTGAGATGATTAAAAACTTTTCACGCATGCGCTAAACTAAAACAAAATTTTTGCCCCATAAAACGAATTAACATATTTTTCCTTAAGAATCTTTGAAACATTTGAAAAATTCTTTAGTATTATCGTTTTGGTTAGCGGAAATAACAGCTCATTTAAATAAAAATGACTAAATTACATAGAGTTTCCTACTTTCATTAAAAAAATCGAAATTTCGGAACATCGGAACTTCGGGATATTTAAAAAAAATATTCGAGAAGAATACCACTTTAAAAGAATGTTATTATTATGTAGTGATTCAAATTATATAAATCTTAAATTTTTGTAGGTAATTGGAAGTTAATTTGGATACATGTTAATATATATATTTAATTAAATTTCCACTAAGATATTTATTAAAATTATTACCATAATTTTTTTTAAAAATGATATTATTTTAGATGGTGTTTTTTCCGTGTTTTAAACAATTTTGGATCAGAAAAAAATATCTAAAAAAATTTTAAATGTTCAATTTATGTGAATATTAGATTGTAAGATAACGTACAACTCCAACTCTTATTATTGTAAAAGAAATGTATGAAATGGTAAATCGGAAATTCAAAGCACTATCATTGAGTAATAAATAAATTTGGCAATTAGGAAATATTTCATCACAAGTAAATTGTGCCTGAAATTTAATGAATGTATTTAATAGGAAGGCCTTCCGAATTTACTGGTGTCTGGATAATTAGTGGCGCGGAGATCCACCTTAAAGTATGCCTAATTATTTGTATTAATTATTTAATCAAAATGCCAAAATTCAATAATATTTTCCCTTTCGTATTATAAACAAACTTTGCATTTGACTTTTGGCACAAATGGCCCTCTAAATGTTAACTAAATTTGATGGTGCAAAAGTCTGAAATCTTTTTTCAAAATAATTTTGAATTTGAGCGTGTTCAGAGGACTCTCTTCTCTTGATACAGTTTTGAAGAAAAATTTATTTTGTCTTTAATTGTTCCCAAGGGAACCATATATCTGACACGATACTTTTAAATAATTTAAATAAAATATGCTGATCGAGAAGTTTGATGCAATATTTCTTTAATTGCCCAAGACAACATGAGAATTAGATAAATTGAAAAATTCTGCTTCCATAACTTCCCAGAAATCAAAGCTCTGGTATTTTGGATTTAGGTGTAAAAAATGGAAAAGAATGTTCTGCATTTAATGTAGAGCAAATCGAGTGAATGTTATTAAAACATTACTTATAATTACCCGGTTTGAAAAATTACATATCAAATCGGAGTAAAATGTTCTCGATTAATTAAAAAATATGAGTTTTGAAACAAATTACTTGTTTAGAAAAAAATCAAATATTAATGTTTATTAACTCTAATGTCATTTTCCACAAAACAAATCGACAAATTGTCAGCAACTGTTATAAGCAAATATAATCATTAAAAATTAAATCTCCTCTAATTCGTAGAATTATATTATATATTACATTACTATATATT